ACATATCTTCTATCAGCAAACACCACCTGACCAATATTTTATGCGCACACGGAGTCCAACAGATCCAACCATCATCCCTGCCAAGAGCTGCCAGACCTGCTAAATGTGGATCCTTACCTGGCCCATGGTTACGCTGTGCTCACACAGAAGCACCTTCCCTTGGCCACCTCTGACACCACACTGTGAGGCTGCAGGGATGCCTGAACCACTCTGCCACGTTGTTTCGAATTAGACTGATCACAGGGAGTTTCTCTGCAAAAGCCTTCCCAATTTGTTCATGTTAGGAGAGCAAGAGTCGGAAGGATCTCAGTGGTAATGTAAATCATTCAAATACAATAAAATTTAATGGGACGTTTGCTGTAAGAGCCAAGAGGGGGATGCCAAGAAATGCAGGAGCTGCTTGCTGTGTTACAAGAGTGCTCCAACCCTCATCCATTTCAGGAGAGCCCTACCAGTGTCAGAAGCTGTTTTCATTAATGCTACTCTCTCTAATTAAATGCAGATTTAAGAAAGCAATCTCTGCCTTGCAGCATTAGCCATACAGCAGGGATTCTGCAAAGACCCCTTCCTTCCAACCTGATCAAACAGGTCCGTATTTACAGACGCAGCTTAGTTACCTAATCCACCTTTCTGGAAGAGGAAAAAAAGAAGCCTTCAAAGCTTCACAACCTGCTCAGCACAGCAGGTTAATTCCATGCTGCAGAGTGAACCTACCTTGAGCAGACAAGTGCAAGATGCACTTTGTGCTTGCTTTGCTTGCCTGAAGAGCTCCAAATCTGCCCACAGCTTCACTCTAAACAACTGGCCAAACAGACTTGAACTAAGATATCAGCACCAGATAAAAGACATCCTGCCTGCAACACGTGCAGCCACTGAATATGGACTGTAATTTGGAAGGCATTCAAGGCACACACTGATGCACTCCCGTCAACCGCTGGATTTGATGCCATTCCCCTCCTGTAACTCACAGCACACTCAGGGCAGTGGCAGCCACTTCCACACAGCACGTGCTATGGGCACGACTCAGCTCTGCACGGACTGCTCCTAATTCTTCTTAGGTCGTTCATAACAGAAGAGATGAATGTGTGATGATGTTCCTGGAATCCCACGCTCGCGGCACTGTCCAAAATAATGCTTTAGAAGCAGCAAAAGAGGTCTAAAGAACTTGGAAAGAAGATTAAAACATCGTAGCCTTGGCAGGAGCAGATACTGCTGCAGCAATATTGGGCTCTTAGCGCCAGATTAGCATATATAATTGACAAGCAATGGAAGGTTTCAGAAGCTAACAGTCAAATCAGCCATTTGATACCGAAGGGTAAAATTAGATGCAACTGGCTGCTTCCTCAAGCTTTCAGGGAGCAGATGACACTGCCAAAAAGTAAGGGAATTATAGAATAACCTGTTATGCAGCACTTGGGTGGGAGGGCAGGCGGGGTGTGAGGATGTATGCAAGAAGAACAGCTTAGGACATGTGAAACACCAGTCAGAAACCAGTTCATGCCTGGAAGTACCATCATCCCATCTCCCTCCTCTACAAGAAATTTAATGCACGACACTTGGAAGTCCTATCAGATGTAGGAAACCTTTAAATTAACAGCTGGAAATACAAAATATGCATGTTATCTTTGGACTGCATCCCAGGCTGTGCCCTGTAAATTTTCATTTTTTTTCTTAAGAATCATCAGCTCCAATCTGTGAAATTTAACAAGCAGCAGCTAATTGTAAAGGCAAATCTGACCCACGAAGATAGCAGAGATGTGCATTCAGATGGATGCTGTTTCACACCATTATCCAGACTATTACCAGAGGAAATTAATATGATGGATCCTCATTTAAACACATGCACACCTGATAGTACATGAAGCAGGCTCCTTAGCTGGTCAGAATAGTACATATATTACCTACATACATTATATATATATTTTACATATATAATAGTATCAGGATAGTGATACTATAACACAGATGCCATGAACTATGAGAAGTCAGGACTTACCACCCTCTGTAAAAGGGGTAACATTCATGACTTCTCAGCCCTAGGAGCATCAGACACCCCATCTCACACACTAAATGACATGCAGTCGATATGGCCACAAGCTGCTCAAGTAACCTACTGGCTGAAACCCACCATCCACAGATTCTTACAGCCACAGAGCACGAGCCGTTGTGCAACGAATGTAAAATAACCCAAATTAACGATGGACAGCTTGACCCATCTTTCTACAGGAAGACTTTCTTCCAATGGATTCTTGCACTTGTTTGGCAACCTTAACGAGCATTTGTAACATCTTGTGCAGTAACTCCTGCATACCAACTGCAGATTACAACCCTGATTGCAGAAAGTATCCGTTTGAAGTTAAAATCTGCTTACCACCCACTTTGTTTTCTTCAGTGCTTCACGAGGAACCAAGCTCCCTATCCCAACTGTTTTCTTCTTTCTTTCAAGACCATGATTTATTCACATCACCTTAATGCCCAGGAATTCAATTTGTTTTTCAGGTGTTGATGGGGATTTGCCACTGTAACTCATTCAACTCTTCAACACCAGTAATAAGTACAGTCAAAACAGCTTACTTTGTAATTCTCCTCTTACAGAAACCATACACTCAATTGCATTTTATGTCGAGACACAAGCTTTGCAAAGAATACAGCTGGTGCTCTTCTGGAGGTTGAGTGTTGGCTGCATAGCAAGTCAACTGTGCAGGGCCCAAATTCCCTTGTTCCTTCCCAACTCACTCTTTTCCCCTTTGAGATATCCCAAACCATTCTATCACTAACACACACTGTAGAGCATATGCCCAAATGAGTCACCTCTCCTATCCCAGAGCTCCTGGAAAAACAAACAGAGTCTCTGGCTGTGGGTGTTTGGAACAACCCCACAACAAAGTGCCTTGAAAGTGCATCGAAGCTTTGTGTAACTCAGCCCTCGGACCAGATTTACTTCGTTTGTTGTTCCCATCTCATGATGTGGTTTTGGCACCAGGCAGTAGGAAAGCTAGCTCCAGAAAACAAAGTTACAGAGATCTGACTTGCTGAAGGTGATGCACGATGAACTAACCTTGCAAAGCAACGGAGACAGAGATTTAACCCAAACAGAATGCTAACCAGGGGTTGTGAGGAGAAAGGTTTAAAGAAGAAATGCATGAAAAGGATGCACATTTATAGGACTAGCAACTCTACCCTTGTTCTTTCAGTGTAAAGGTTCAAGAACAAACTCTGCTGCAGGAAAACTAATTGCTAGTATAAGGATATTGCAGACACTGATAGTACTTATCAGAGAAGCAAAAGCAAGAGGGAGACCTGGCCTCAAGATTCATGACGCAATCCATCCCATGGATGAAGACATCTTGCCGTGGGCAATTTCCCCCCGTATCTATTTTCTGATCAGCAAAACAGGAACAGAAACACCTGAGCCCAAGTCTTCCAGCAAAGCTCCTGCAGATGAAAAGTCGGGTATTGGTAAAGACACAAAGATTTTATCAACTCAGCATAGCCTTGCACTGCACAACTTGGACATGAAACAGTAAGAAACTCAATGCAATCAGCTCCCTAACGCTGTTGGCTTCTCAGCAAATAAACCAGGTGAACCCCAAGTGCATGCACACCTTTTTCTGTGTCAGTGAAGAAAATGTTGCACATGATCAAGAAAGATGTAAAAGCAGATTTTATCCCAACGTGCAAGGAACCAACCAGCAGAGCTGCTTTCTAAGCTTGCTGCATCTTTATGAGATGGGAGGCTATATTTTTGTTAATAGACACACTCCATTTTGTTAATGGCTTGGAAGAAAAGCCCAAACATCTGCCCAGTTGCCTTGACGTGATGAAAAAATGATCCAGTCAGTAAGTTTCAGTCTTGCCCCCAGAAATGCACAGTCTGCTGCCCTGGCTGTTTCTTATTTTATCTGCTAGCAAGGAATGTCAAATATGCATCAAAGACTTGGTCAGTTTGTGTATGAAGACATTTACAGATAACCTATCACCCCACAATGATTGCAACTTGTGAATGCCTGCAATCTCCAGAGGTGAAAGAATCTAACACAGTCTCCCCTCGCGTGGCAGAGCCTTCCCCACAGCCCCAAAGCTACAAAGCATGAACTCCAGGCACCAAATAAATGCTTTATAAAGCCCTCACCAACAGGCAGTATCTTATGGGAATGCACGTCTTCACAATGGCACAGGAGCGATCAATAGAACAGGATGCTGATGGTCTACGAAAGGCAGAAAACTCTCCTGTATTTATGAAACAGGGAATCTGGATGGGGTGACTTTGCAGTCACAGAGGAAAGAAAAATGAGGCTGCACTGACAGCACCAGAGCTCAAAAAACAGAGGACTACAGCAGCATCTGCTATAGCAGAGACACTGATGGTCCAAAACGCATCATGGCACGCTGAACTCCTTGGAGAGGCAACTATCATGAGAAATAACATCTGCTAGCCAAAACAACAACAACCAAACACCCCAATACCCAAAAACTACAAACCCAAAGCCTACTTCTCAAGCACGAAAGCAGAGCAGAGAAACGACTTAAAAGCAGTGCTGAAAACAGCCGGGCAGTGCAGCACCGCATTCAGCACCGGCTGCTGGTGCTGCCCGTGATGGACATCAGCCGTGACAGACAGAGGGCTGCCCAGCAGAGCCCCATGAACGGCAGTCCCCAGCCCTGCCGTGGGGCCATAGAAACCCCACTGCAGTGCACAAACACGTTGCATTTACAGCACGCTGCTCTGCTGCGGTTCTGACAATCCGAATGGTTCCCCAGCCCTGAATGCCAGATAGGGACTTATTTTTTCGCTTGGATTATCGGGGATGGGGTCTTCTACTCATATTGTCCCAAAAAAATCAATTAAAAATCAACCCGCACTGCACTGCAAAGGAGAAAAGGGAGCAGCCCCCGGCATGGGCGGGTTGGGGAAGGCAGAAGATGGTAGGCAGGAGCCACGTGGGGTAGCGGGAGCCCGCAGGAACAGGGGAGAATGCGGGGGTCGCGGGGCTACTTACGGACACAGAGGCAGGCTACCAGCTTAGCAGCCTCGTCAGGCACCGGGCAGGTGGGGAAGATGGGCTTCAGCAGGTAGGTGGCGAAGACCAGAGCTACGATGTACTGCGAGGAGGGTCGGATGATGAGCAGCTCTATCCAGAGCTTGAGGAAGGCGGGCAGGGAGCCGTACACCTCCAGCATGTAGGCATAGTCCCCGCCGGACTTGGTGATAGTGGTGCCCAGCTCGGCGTAGCACAGAGCGCCCACGATGGAGAAGGCCCCGCAGACGGCCCACACCACCAAGGACAGCCCCGGCGAGCCGGCCTCCCGCAGCACCCCGGTGGGGGTGACGAAGATGCCGGAGCCGATGATGGTCCCCACGATGATGGCCACGCCGTTGATCAGCGTGATGGAGCGCTGCAAGGCCACCCCCTCACCGTCGGCGGGAGCGGCGGTGGGAGAAGGCGTGCGGGCGCAGCCGTTCTCCTGAGCGCCTCCAGCCGCCTCCAGCATCTTCTCCATCGCCTGCTTCTCCTCCTCCTGCGCCATGGAGGAGGCCGAGCCCGCCGGGCTCCTCTTTTTCACCGCGCTGCTGCCGCCGCCGCTGCCCGACATCGTGGCGGGGCGCGGAGCGGAGCGGGCGCAGCCGGGCGCTCGGCTGCCACCATGCAGCCGCCCCTTTTGTTCCGTCGGCGGTGGGCGGCGTGCGGGGAGCGCCTCCCGGTGAGGCGGGGAGATGCCCGGGGAGGGGCCGGGCTCCTGGCGGGGGGAGGACGAGGAGGAAGGAGAACCGGTTGCGGCCCCGCACGGTGCCGCCTCGGGAAAGCGCCCAGCTCCGCGCTCTCCCCCCTAAGGTGGGCGATGGGGAAAAGCGAGCCGGCGAAGCGGTGTCCCCGATAACGGCCTGCTCTTGGAAGACCGCAGGGCCGCCGGTCAGGCGGGGAGTCGTGTTACCCGACTCAGGCTGGGTTCTTACACAGCAGAACATGGCGGAGGAGGAGGGGGAACCAATTCTGCAAAGCTCACATCACCCAAATCCCGCAGCCTCATCTGATCTCAGGGTGCCGGCCGTTCTTTACAGAGTGGTGAGGTGCTGGAACAGCTGCCCAGAGAGGCTGTGGATGCCGTGTTCCTGGAGGTGTTCATGGCCAGGGTGGACGGGGCCCTAGGCAGCCTGGTCTAGCATTACATGTGGAGGTTGGTGGCCCTGCATGTGGCAGGGGGTTGGAGATTCGTGATCCCTGAGGTCCCTTCCAACCCTGGCCATTCTGTAACTGTGCTCACTGTGCTTTTCTACATACCATGTTTGACTCAAACACAGGCCACATTCCAGCTGCCTGCATTTCTGCAGAGGCACTGCTGAAGTCTGCCCTCACTTCTTACACTGAAAAGATAAATTCACAACAGTTCCTGCCAACCTAGCAAGCAGGCAAGCAGAACAAGCAGTTTCCATCACACTGCCTCAGCAAAGGCATAGGATCTGCATCCAAGGAGACTTTCTTGGCAACTTCACAACAGAGCCAGAGGAGCCAATCCTGTAACAAATTCCTGTCTTTGCAGGATAGGAGATGAGTTTAGCACCCAGGAGCCCACACTTGGCAGTGAGCATCCTCACTGTGAGTGGGAAGTGGTACCTCGGAGGAGCAGTGTCCCAGAAGCAGGGTAGCAGGCAGCACACATGAAGTCACATCCAGGCTCCAAAACCAAGGCTCAGTGTCCTTCCTCCCCAAACCATGCTCCTCCAGGCAGGTCAAACCAGCTTCAGGCATCGGGGTGGGTCAGGGCGTTTCTGGAAGATACCTTCAGGAAAAGCCAGGTCAGCGTTTTGGAGGCAAGCTGTAACATTTCAGTGACATTTTCAGGTCGCTCACACTGGACAGTGACATTGGAACTCCCTTGAGGCAGCGGAGGAACGCAGGGCTCCGTCCAGCAGCTTTGGGAGAGCTTGTCAGAACGTGACACCTAGTGGTTGTGAGCCACAGCAACACGCAGACCTCAAACTGCCTTGCTCAGTTCAGCATCCTAAGAAAGCAACAATTCCCACTAGTTTTCAAGGGCATGCGATCACCCTTCCCTCCCCGCACCCAGCTCGTCCAAAAAGCAACTTCTAAGCAGAACGACCACTAAGAATTTGCAGATCTCAAGCTCAGTTTCGACACCGTTGCCATTTGGAAACCCTGGGCTCAAGAAGCAGCTGAGCACCACTGCCCCACCTGAAGTCACCCACAGACGGCTGTATTGCCCACTAACCTGAGTTATCTTGCAGCTGTTTGTCCATTTGGGCTGGGAAAATACCTGCTCTGCAGTTTGCAGAGTTCAGGTGTGTTCATGGGGTGCCTTCTGTCCACCAAGCACTTCACAAGTGGGATTATCGTGTGATTATCAGCTCTGACCACCAACTTTTCAGGCCCCCAAGTTGTTCTGCAGCACCTCTGAAGGCAATTTGATTACACAGCCACTTCTCCACACGTTAACATTCAGACACTTTGATTTTGTCCCATCGAAAAGCAAGAGCAAACAAGACATTAATTACCAATATCAGAAGTAAATTGGCCATTTGTTGGAATTAATGCACATCTCGCAGCTGCCTTGATCAAAGTAAAAGAGCCCACTGGAACCAAATAAACCAAAAAATAAATTTCTTCAGCAAACAGCTCAGCTGTACTACATATATACTATCTATCTACACACACAAACACAGTAAGACCTCCTAAGCTTCTTTGCTGGGCAAAGTGGAATGGGTGGTAGCTTCTGGAACCCTCAAACTGCAACAGTAGAGCTGGAGCTGGTGTTATTCTCAACCTTTCTTCCCACTGAAATGGCTTACCTTTCTGGACAGCCCCCATAGAACGGTCAGTATGGTCTGCAACCACTCATAGGGCTCAAATCCCTTCAGCAGAAATGGTCTCCTACTGTCCCACCAAAAGAAGTGGGAATAACCTCAGCTTAGCACAACCTATCTATGTGATACCCAGGCCCTCAGCCTGGCTACTACAGGTCAACTAGATTAATTTGTATTTATTTATTAGCCAATTGTTATTGATAAAAGCAATTTATTTTAATAAATTAAAGCTTTTTTTTTCCTGATTGTTCAATAAGATTCATACCACCCTGAAGTAGAAGCACTGCAAAATCACTACACGTGAAACTCCTCGAGAGCTGCACCACACATCAAGTTATTCAGTTTTATCAACACTAATTACAGTGAAAACAGAGAAAGGAACTTAGCTGACAGTTTTTAGGTTGAGTTTAACACTAAATATGAAACAAGGCAGCTCGGAACTTCAAACCTCCTTGCAGGAATCTCCTTGCAGGCAGCATGCTGCATCTATCCCAATGGAGCAGATAACTGGACATCCATCAGCACGGCTGCAACACAGAGTTCATTGTGCTTTCATTCCAATTACAATACAGTCCAGCAGAGCCTTTCACAGACTGAAGCATCAAAGGCTGACATCTGATCATATTCCACTCATAATGAACTGGGTCATTCTGAAGGAAGAATTATTTTCTTGATGGAGAATCTCCTTTCTAACTTGGAGAGCTTAACTGCACAATGAAATACAGACACGGGTTGCTGTGCTTTTTTATTGCATGGTTGCAGACTAGTTTAACAGCTAAAAAAAATACAGTGACTAGAAGTTTCTTTACACCAAAACTGAAAAGAAATGTCTGTATGCTATGATACAAAAGGCACTTCTCATGTATGTTGTCCACAAAGGCAATATTTCAGTAAATTACCATTAGGCACAATATATGTTACCATATGCACTTGAGAACTTCCACCCTCACTTCATGAAGCCATCCTCAACATGAGTCCCACTACAACATTTCAGTCATAGTGCTGACTGCCACAGGAATGTCTCTCAGAGCAGTGTTAATTAACACTGAATGATGCTCACTGAGAAGCAATCAGGTTCAAGGACAAAAGTCTGTTCTGACCCTTCTCTACTGCACCCTCCAAAAGAGCCTAAACATTCCTATGCAGACACCTTCCAAATGCAGTTTAACTCAGTTGTGCAAAGTCGTTACAGACATGAACTAAATTAGCTGAGAACCCAGCAAAATACAACAAAAAACCCTAAAAAAACAAACAAAAAGACCCACTTTCATTTCCAGCCTGTTAATTTTAACCAGAGCTTGCAACTGGAATACTGCCCATTGGAACCAGAGATGCTAAGACACTGACATGGAAATGTAGCAGGCATCCTGGAAGCAGCACAACTGTAACAGCAAATCCCTGTACAGCTTACTTGTTTTAGCACACTCCAGTTCATTTTTTCCTCTTCTGACCCTGTTTACACACACATGTATATCCTTATACATACATACATATATGAAACCTAGCACTGAAACTGAAATAGATTTTACGTCAGGATATTTAGATGCTACTCGATGTAGAAGAAAAAGCACAAACACCACAGTAACCCCTAAGAACAAAATGCGTATCTTGTACTTGCATATGCCAGGAAAGAGACATTAGTTGGTGAAATAAGCTTGGTGGATCAGAGGTGCACAAAACCTGAGGGCAAGCAGGCAACTAAAACACTCTGAGCAATCGCATAAAGCTTTTCTAAAGACCCATTCACTTATGACAGCAAGAGTTTGGTTGCTTTGAAGAACTTTAACAACCACAAGATGACATTTCCTAACCAGAGTAACTTATATAACAATTCAGAGATACTACATTAAGCTGCTTGTAAGCAGGTTAATTTCCCATTGCTCTTCTCAGCTGGTAATTCAAACTGACCCAAATTAAACCAAGTCATTCCCTCTGTTATCCTAACACTTTACTCCATCAGTAAAGCAAACAGTTGGCTTCTCCCTGATCTCACACAGCCTATTCCAGTTCTTCTTGCCACATCCATTTCCACATTTATAAGGCAGCAGTTTTAAATACTTTAGTTGATGCAGGCTGCCTTTATCCAGCTTAGTTCCACTGAGTCACCTGCATTGTTAAAAGCAAAGACAGCATTACAATGACTGTATTACAGGGTTTTTCCTAATTGCTAATAACAAAAGCAAGTTCAGCAATGAAGATTGAGTGCACTCAGGTACAAAGTAAAAGGAATCTCTTCCTATTGCCAGACTTGCAGATGCCCCTTTCAAAATTATTTTCAGAACCTGCCATTCTCTGGCAACGCCGTTACTGAAGTGGCTCAGCAGAGTAGAAATACAGTATAACTGAACTGAGCTGTAAGGGCTTGGGAGAGAATGAAACTGAAGATACATACTGCCACTTGGAACATACCATAAAGATGAACATACAACACACAGGGAGCAGAAGCCAATGGAGATTTCCTTAGATCTACTGAGTAGTCACCCTAATATTAAGCAGCCACGTGAGAGGAGAAAGGCACAGCTGCTGAAATGTAACAGAAGTGTGAGGTAGAGATATTGAGGAAGCAAAGGCACGGATTTAATTGGTTAAGGAAAAATATTCAAATGCTTTGAAATCATTAGTCATGCTGAAAAGTGTTAAAGTGCTTCTAAAGTGAACACTTGGAGTGGGAAAGTACTGATTCCAAAGATGTGAATACGTCACTGACAAGCTGGTCTCCTGGCATCATGAGTCCTGAATGACACCAGCAACTGCTGACTGCTTAATGGCAGGAGAGGATCAAGAAATGCATCCTCTAAAAATATACATGAAATACAATCAATCAAGATTGGGCAGCCTGGTCTAGTGTTAGATATGGAGGTTGGCAGCCCTGCAAGCAGCAGAGGGGTCAGAGCTTCATGATCCTTGAGGTCCCTTCTAACCCAAGCCATTCTATGACTCCATGAAGATTGTCTCATGAGCACATAGCCAGAACTGCTCATCAGAACAAACGAGATCACAGGTTCCATAGGTGAGTTCGTGCACAAGCACACTGCAAAGCACAGCAAAGCATAAGAAGTCATTCAGAAAGGTGCACTAGAGAAAGTTATGGCTAGTAGCATACTGCAGAGGTAGGCACTGTTTGTGGCAATTGGACCATCACTTCAGTATACAGCTCCACAGCTGGTAGCTTAAAACAATTTTGTCTGGTCCTCAACTGAGTTCCAACCACCACTGGTCTGTGTTACCATAAGGTGCCATATAGAACAACATGGTCCCAGTAACCATGAGGGTGGGTAATCCCCAAGAATGGAAGTTCAGCTTCAGACAAAACATTGGGAAGATTGCACTGGTGCTCTACAAACTGCTGAAAAGAAATAAAAATCAAGCATCTGACTGCGGTGTTTTGTCCACACTCATCTACCATTCCATGAGTATCAAAGCCAGAACTTGTAGAATGGGATTTGTGGACATTTCCTGTAAAGTTTTGCAAAGTCTTCTGGTTTGCAGTACAGATAAGGCAGACTTACATTACATCCATTATAAACACGGGTCACTCAGCCAATGCTTTTTTTTTTTCCTCATCATCCTATGCACCATTTGTTGTTGTTTTAAAAAAGGACAAAGTTAAAACACCTCTTCATATGTGACTGCAGAAGACAGTTCTAGCCTCAAACCTCCAGAAGTTCCACAAAGGACCTTAACAGACTTCACTTCTTCACACCTCCTGCTTGTTAACATGTTGGAATTATTAATTTAAGCAAATCACTGGAGGAGTTATGAAGAGGCACAGAACAATTCAGAAGGCAGAAAGAGAAAAGATCTCCTGCATTACTTTGCCTTTAACTTTCAAAAGAATTCCTCACTGATCCCTGCTTTTAAGTGAGCAATTTTTTAAGAGTTTGTATTAAAAAAAAACAAATTAAAATACACACAGCCTCTCTACTGAAGCTCAACTGACTCTCAGAACCGAAATTAGCTGTCTGTGAAACTGCATGGCATAAACATCCTGCAGAAAAGGAGGAATCATTACAGAGTAAGGTAAACCCAGTTACTACAATCTGGACTGACATTCCATGGGCCATCTACGGCCTGATCTGCTGAGCGTGGTCTGAGTATTGTGCTTCCATATCTAAGAGATGCCTGCTCTGGAAGGACGAGCGGACAGTTCTGTTCATTAATGGCTGAAGGGGGCGAAAGTTGTCCACCATCCTCTTCTCTTCTTCACCATCTGAAGTAAAGAGCAGCATCCGAAAGGCCTCCAGCTGAGAATGAGAAATGGCCAGTTTAGCTCCTGGAATTCCAAACCCCTTCCTGGAGTTTGGTTTTCTTATACAGACATTCCTATACTGATGCTCAAGGAAAAAGAAAAAAGCAATCCCAACCTGCAACCACCTACATGGCTTTTGTCCTCAATGGTTTATAACTGCAGACTGAAGCCATGCAGCACATCAGATGTTTGGTCCTCACAAAGGGCACAACAATGCTAAGCAATTAAGATCTTCTGTGCCATGAAAGAATGAGATTAGAACCAACAAAATGTATAGAAGTTTGAACTGCAGGAAAAGTATGCATTCATTTTTCCTTGCTTTCTTCCCATTCTGCTCCCTTACAGAACTAAAATATTAACATTGTGTATATGCCTATTCTTCACCATTAATATTTGCCTCAAGTTGGACTTCCCAGATGGTCTAGCTGCATGCAGAAGTTCTATTAAGAATCAGTATTTTGTCCAATTCTGATCAGCTCTCCTGACCATTTTTCTCTTCTCCCTGTATCTATTTCATACTAAGGAGTAACATCACACTGCACAACAAAGTACTGCAATAATAAGCAGCAAAGAGCACGAAATAAGTCAGGGCTGGGGTCAGCAGACTGCCAACCACCTGAACCAACCTCTGCTGAAACCTCTGTCCTTTTAAAAGGAAATTAAAAATAAAAAACCTCAAGGACAATACAGCCAAGTAGTGAGCAGACACGTCTACAGAGGCAAAGGAGAGAATCCAGGACTCAGAGCCACCATTCCTCCTGCCCCCTCAGAGCCTGCCCAGGAGGAGGAACAGCCCTTGCAGCTTCTGCAAGACTTCTGTGCAAGTGAACACACTATCAGGGATATGCACAAATGGTCAGAGTTCAGAGTGTCACAAAAACTGTCCCTTCTTCTCCCTCCCTGTCATGCAAAGGAGCAGAATGGCAAAGAGAAAAACGATGCAGTGTTTTAGTAAACAACCTCGTAAGTTTTCAGGCTGTGGTTTCCAGCACAAGGCTTTGTTACCAGAAGTTAGGATGAAACTCTATACGGGGAGCCTGCCTCCACAAGGCACACACCTTGAACTGTTGAGGTCTTCAGCCTCCCAGCACTACCTGTGGTTAAGATCAGGATACCCCAAAACAAAATACCAGGTGTGGAGCAGCTGCTTCTGTGCTTCTTTCCCTCCACAGCAGCAGCAGGCAGACGTGTGGTATTAAATATCAGCAAGAGACTTACCTGATTCTCATCAACCTCTATTGGCTGCTTCTTAATAATCCACGTGACTGATTCAGTAAGTGGGGGAGTGGTCAAAGAGCCTGCATATGTCCAGTAATCAGGGCATGGAGGTAACAGGCAGGAGGGGTCAAAGACA